ACCTAACGTGAACTTTCCGGAAATCATATCTGTTGATATTTAAAATTTATTTTTAAGTGCTATTTTTGTGTTGGTTTTATGATAAGCTGAAATCTTAACTGATGCAGGTGGGTGTGCATCACAGAACAAAGAATTGTTTGCGCACTTTATTTATGTTCCTTGGCAAATGTTGTCTTATTAAAGCAACAAGAAAAATGTGTATACTGACATAACACAATTTAAGAGAACTAAATCTGTCTTAACTCTTAACCCTTATAAAGACTACTGTGGATATACAACTTTCTAAAGCCTATAAATTATCAATATGAAAAACTTTTTGCTGAAAAAAACCTGTTGTACACAATTCTTCTACATGCCTTCTGTCATTTGATTAATAGTTCATTCTTTTTTAGCAAGTAAAAGGCCCTTTAGTTTATATATTTGTAGTTGTGATATAATTAATGACATTTAGAAAGTAAATGCAAGAATAACATTTATGTTGTTAGTGATATTTCAAGATGAACACTTACTGGACTTAAGAAATTTAGGTTTTCCTATGTCCAACCATTTATTTAATTTGAAAAATCGTGTTAAAATGTTAGGCTTTAGAGGAATGTTGATTTTATCTCTCAATCATCATTGTATTGCATTGCTCTATAAAAAAATACATAGCATTGATCATAAACCTAAGCATTTGAATATCATCTATGACATTATTGAGAGATATAGAGTGACAAACAATATTTATATACATTGAGTAGTGCTTTTAATGTTATAAAGATCTCATTAATTTACATTACAGGCCTTTTAGAATTTCATCAACTGCATTAAATTGCATATTTTTGCTCAGTTTGGCCCTCTGAATAAAATTGAGGTGTTTGTTTCCTCCTCAAATATGAGCTCCATATTCTATCACTATATGAGCCATAAAAGCCTGATGATACTCAACAAAAAACACATAATGCTAACTTTTTTTGTCTAAAGGTTCAATAAATTGTTCCATTAAAAAAATTATTTAATTTGTCAGGCATTACAGGGTTAAGAAAGCAAAATCATGTGGGGGGGGGGGGGGGGAAATCGCAGACTCAAAGCAATTCCCATTGCCATGCCAAGAAGAGTAAAAACAGCAAAAACTTAAATGAATACACTTTTTATTAAAGAACATCTCAATGAGAATTCAAAAGGGAGAATGTATTATGTGTAACGTTAAGCCCATTCCAGCATTAGGCATGGGAAAATATTTAGCTGTTTTGCAGCATAAGCGTCCTGCTGAGAATTAATGTGTGGAAATTCTCAAATTTCCACATAAAAAGATCAAACATGCAAATAGATACTGGTGTCTTGAGACTGCAGAAAGCTCAGCCAATTAGGAAACGCTTCATCTGCGTCTGGATTTGTTCATTGTGTCTAAAGAGCAGCACACAATGGAAGCCAACACCACACTGAAAGTATTCTACCATGTGACATCAAAGCAGTTAAAAAAAAAATCAGGTGACACTGAGTAGTGTAAGCAATAAGGTACTCGAGGCTGTGCTCTGTATCATGAATAAGTCGTGACTTATTCACGATACAGCACTAGCCTTGAGTACCTTATTGCTTTATAAAACGGTTACCACACAATACAAATATTAAAGCCGAAAAATATGCAATAAGATTAAAAGCCTTCCTTCCGCTGGAAAAATCGTCCCTGACCGTAAACAGCAATAGAAGTTACATTATTTTGCCATTAGATGGAGGCAAAAACTGTCTTTATGAGTGAGTCAGTCAGTAGAACCGTTGGGTGAAGCGGTCATAGCCGTGTTTTATCGTGAATAAAACACAGCTATTGACCAATCAGAATCAAGGATTAGAACTAACTGTTTTATAACGGTCTTGAACAACACCACCATTCAACAGGTCCTGCAAAAATGTATAACACCAAGTTGAGTTACAGCAGTCTGGTTTTGCAAAATCTGCACAAAAAATGATGGAAAGACACTATTCTAATTCTGACGTGATGCAGCCTTAATCCTAATGATACCGTGTTCGTTCGTTGGCCAGAGGAGAACTGGTCCTCCGACTGAGCCCGATTTCTCCCAAGGTTTTTTCTCCATTCTGTCACCTGATGGAGTTTGGGTACCTTGCCACTGTCGCCTCTGGCTTACTTAGTTGGGGAAACTTAATATTCAAAAATAGGGGTGGGGGAAAAAATCGATTCTTAGATGCATCGCGATGCGGACGTGGGCGATTCTGAATCGATTCACAAATGTCAAAAATCGATTTTCAATATATATTTATAATAACGTAATACTGACGGAGCGCAAAAGACAGAATTCTGAAGTGCGGAAGTGCAGTGCCCGGACCGTCTGTGGCGTGCACATAACAGAGACGCGATGGCTGAGCGCGAAACCCAAACACCCTCCGCGTTAAAAGCTGACGTGTGGAAATATTTAGGCTTCTATGAAGTTGAAGGGGGAAAGGAGCTGGACAAGAGCCACACTATTTGTAAGCTTTATAGAATAAAACTAAAATATTTCGAAAACATGATGAAGCCATATGACACGTTTCCACGCAGGAGGAAAAACACTCGGCTGTAGGCTACCGGTCGTTGTTATAGTATGCTGCTAGTTCAGGCACACATTTATTTTCCTGTTGGTTCTTGGCAATGTTAATAAAATATATTGTACGTTAATTCTTTATGGGTCATTACTTTTTACTTTTAAAGCAAAGTATTTATAGTCACACACACACATAAAAGATTCAGATAATCGATAATCGCTTTAGCATCGAATCGGAGCCCTCTGAATCGTAATCGAATCGTGAGGTGCCTAGAGATTCCCACCCCTATTCAAAAATATCTGTGATCTGACTGTACTGACGCTGCTGTATGAGAACTGAACTGAGAACTGCTTTATAGATGAAATGGACTTATTTAAATGAAATGCACGACCCGAAAAGCCTCATTTTCATGTTAGCACTGTAAAGTTGATTTGAAACAATCTGCATTGTACAAAGTGCTATAGAAATAAAGGTGACTTGACTTGTCTATTTGCCTCATTTAGGGAAATATCAATTTATTAGTATAGTATTTAAATATGGAAGCTTATGTGTAGCAATATTCAATTTGAAATGTAATATGCAAAATGATAATGCAATATGTAAAATGACAATGCAATATGTAAAATGGAAATGCATTTCTGTATTTAAATTAACATTTTCCATTACATTTGTGCAACGTTTGGTGAAAAATGAAAATGATAATTCAATTATATAATTTACATTTGCCATTTCATACATATGTTTTAATATGTAAATTGAATACATATTTTAACGCTTTATAAGTTGCAAAATTAAAATGAAAATGTATTAAAGAAATTATTAGATCTGTTTAAAATGTTCAAGCAAAAACTGTAGCAAAATGATCATTTAAATGTTATTTTTCTTAATTGCATTTACATTCACAGTTAAGACACTTGCGATTGCATTTTCATTAAATGTCCCGCAATGAATGTAGCAAAATTCAATGTGCAAATTGAAAATGCATTCCGAGCCGATCACGCCCCTGCCCCGCACCCTCCCTCCCGCTCACTCTTGTCAATCATTGTGTGAAGTTGGCCCCGCCCCCACCCAATGCAAAACGTCGGCAAAATTGGCTCAATCGTTTTTACTTCATTTGTGCTGTTACTTTGATTTATTGTTTGTTCTGCTTCGATTTTTAAGATATTTAAAGAATATTTATAGGTCATTCTGAGGTCACCCAGCCCCCCACATCCTCCAAATAAAATAGTCTCGTTCGTTTGTGCCGGTTGTGCGGCTTCGGTTTTTAAAATATTAGACCAATTATAGACGATGGCATCAAAACCCGTCAGATTCCGTGATGACCCTATATACAGTATTTATAAATATCTGATCAATATGCTTTATAAAATAGAAAAGGGAGATGGTTAAACATCACATGAGACACTTTATTGAACATTACAGTCAGTTATGAAGAAAGAGCGGTCAAATTTTTTGGAAGAGCTGAATTTGACCCATCATATTCTGTGATCTCAGAGTAGGTGCATTTGTAAAGAAAACCTGTAGGATCTCCAACATTATTGGGTAATTATAGTTAATAGTAATAAGAATGAAGTTAAGCATATGTGTATCAGACAATGAGAATATTTAATACAAAACGAAACAATCATTCACAGAGTCCTGCATCAGACAACAACAGCGCAGCATAATGTTGACATCAAACGGGTGATACTGATAAGGCAGAACATTCTCCCACACGGTCCAACAATGCACTGGTATCACCTGCAAACGCGTAATAATCCTCGGAAACACTACAATTTCTCTGTTCACGCTTCCCTTCATCTGCCAGTAAATTTACGCTCGTATCAGCTCTGCCGCCGCCATGTTTCCTTCCAACACCTCAAAATGTTGCCGAGCCCCGCCTTGACGCAGTGATTGACAAGAGCGAGCGGGAGGGAGGGGGCGGGGCAGGGGCGTGATCGGCTTGGAATGCATTTTCAATTTGCACATTGAATTTTGCTACATTCATTGCGGGACATTTAATGAAAATGCAATCGCAAGTGTCTTAACTGAGAGTGTAAATGCAATTAAGAAACATAACATTTAAATGATCATTTTGCTACAGTTTTTGCTTGAACATTTTAAACAGATCTAAAAATTTCTTTAATAAATTTTCATTTTAATTTCGCAACTTATAAAGCGTTAAAATGTGTATTCAATTTACATATTAAAACATATGTATGAAATGGCAAATGTAAATTATATAATTGAATTATCATTTTCATTTTGCACCAAACGTTGCACAAATGTAATGGAAAATGTAAATTTAAATACAGAAATGCATTGCCATTTTACATATTGCATTGTCATTTTACATATTTAATTATCATTTTGCATATTACATTTCAAATTGAATATTGCTACACATAAGCTTCCATATTTAAATGGCTAGGAACTGGAGACATTTATGAACAGAACTTTGAACAAATCTACTACTGTGAGTAAACGTTGAGTAGTCTCCTTACCTTGCCCAGTACAGTAAGACAGCTGGGGTCCAACTCGGGCTGCTCCAGTTTGACCACTCCAACCCAGCCGTATTCGTACAAGTCCTCTTCATCGTTGTTGTTACACAGGCCCAAAGGGTGCATCTGCAAGACAAAAAGAATCTTCTTCAATATCTCCTTCCAAATTGTATCCAAAATAAAATTCTGGCCACATACTCTCCCATTCCCAACTAAACAGAATTCAAATGTTTACAAAGACTGACTGAAAGAAGAAGAGATGAAAGAAAAATGTCTTTAAGCTTTGAGAAAGGTTAAGTCAAATGCATTTTTGAAATAAAATTAAAGAGAAGTTTAATATTGCAATGCAGAGGTGCACCTTTAAGTGATAAGCATTAACCAGACCATGTTATTGCGCCATAACTTCACTTCCTTTATAAACTGCCCTATATTGACGTGCCACACCACACCCACAAGCCAGTGAAGGTGTGGAAACTCTAAAAAGGTATGAGTGGAGCAGACATGATCATTACAGTCATTAGATGTGCACCAAACCATTCAAAATAGCGGACAGTTTAGACATCTTGCGGATTCTCTCCTCTTGGCTCAAATCCCATCTTTAATTTGTCGTAAGTGTGAAATTTAGCGCTTTTGATGTGTTGACAATTTACAACATGGATGTTTATCAAATGAAAATCTTCAAGGAGATAAAACTCTCCTAAAATGAGAAAACTAGGTTAAATATTATATAGCAATTACATAACTGCTGAATGAGGCCACGCAGTGTTTGAGGATGGCGATTTATTACTTTATTAGTGCTATTAGCTTCAGAAGGCGACCATTTCATGGACATGTTGCTGGATTTTTTATTAAATGAATGATAGCTTAAGCATTCAAAGGTAAAACCAACGGTAAACCTGATTAAAACTCCATGACAACAACTGATTCATCTGCTTTGACCTTAGTGACCTGTTCTCTACCCAAAGCTGAGAGCTTCTGGGCAAAAATGAACAAATTGGATTAACACTCTGAAAAGGCTGATTATCATCTTAACTCTGGGATCAAAAGCCACATCAGCCCCCAAGAGGCCTTGGATTCCACATTTGCATTAAAGTTTGCTGATGTTGTGGCTTTTTATCTTACTAGACTGGCGACATATTAAAGTAGCACTGTAGGGTGACACTGATAAACTAATTCCTCATCCAAAAATTCAAGATTATGTTAAGATACCGTGGTTAAATGATGCCTTTTCTAATCAGTGACCATCTACAAGCAAAGCATTCCTTTAATGCCTTGAGAACCTTGCATTTCAATGAGGATTGTTCGTTGGATTTAAATGCGGTTTCGCAAAAGTGGCTTGTCAGGAGAAGTTAATGATGGCAACCACAAATATGGCAACAACAAAAAAAGGCTGCAGGACATGGCTTGTTTTTCCGCAAACACATTTACTAAATTCTTTCTTAATTTCTCTTGCAGTTTAATCCACTTTTCTGGTAAGCGTTGAGATTCCTTCCCAGGCAACTACCTAACTGATGGTTGTTTGTGTAACTGCACTTCCATTTTTCAACACGCATGAACCAATACTCGTGTTAACACACGAGTACCAGCATTTCCCTCCAGTTCGCCCCAACAAATTTCCCCAGTTGGCCCCCACGACTGGGTGAATACCCAGTTGCAAACTTTTCTCCAACCCAGGGTCCCCCATCTCTCCCTCTCCTTTTTCTGTCCATCATTCTGCGCTACACCCAACCATCTCTTCTTTTACCACCAAAAGAGGTGTCCCTTGTTCAGCTCCGCCACCCTCAGTGCCTCTCATCTATCCGTCTCCTGTACAGCCGTTCACATGTGTATCTCCTTTCATGGGCAATACTCTCAATGAAATCACCATAACAACAGGCAGCCAAACTTCTCATACCCAGTTCCACCTTAAGCATGAGCAGAATTAAAAAAAGGTCAGATTGGTGCAGTACATAAAGTGCTGCAATGGCGTAAGTGATTCTCAATGGAGCTAGCCATGCAAGTTATCTCTCTATACATGGAATATGGAGGGCTGCCAACGTGACGCTTTTCTCTCCCCTTTATTTGTTTGTTTGTCTTTCGCTTGCACTAACTGATGATGATGATAATTATAAAGGGATGATATGTGCGAAGAAAAGCATGTCCTGCTTAATAATAGTAATACTAACGCTTTGCAATATTACTCAGAACCGCGTTTGAAAACAGCAAATGGATAGATGAACAAACACAAACTGTTTTTTTCCCCTCCTCGTCTTCGAATGAGGGTTGACCTGATTTGCCGTTGGTGAGGGGATCGGAACAGAATAGCCGGTTTAGGCCTTTCCCATCTCAAAGAAAATCTAAATGCCAATCACACCACACACAAACTTTGTCAGACGCTCAATTCACTGGTGCTTTGATCATCACGTGTTTCAGCCTCCTCAGCAGAATCAGTCCAGGTAGCAGAGTTTCTAGTGCACCTTCATTTTTAGGGGTTTTCTCTGATGTGTTGACTGCGTTTGATAAAACTCTTGGGGGCTTCAGAGAGTCCTGCAATTCAAAGAAAGCAGTATGTGTGCGCGCATCTGCCTGGGGGCCAAAACAGAGGGGGCCAGCTTAAACTCAACTAAAACTCATAAAAATATTTTAGACCACTTGGTTTCTTAAATTGCACCAAATAGTAGGGCTGGGTAAAATGGATTTTTCATCTAATCACAATCTTAATTTGAATAATTGAACAATTTAAAGACAAACTAATTGTTCAAAATAATTGAAGAGTTTCTTAAAATCCCAAGATCAATCTTTTGCTATATAGGCTATACTAATGTGAAGACACAAATACAATAGAACAAAGATACAAATGAAATAAACACTGCTTGTTTTGTTAATGTTTTTCAGGTACAGAAATTGTATAATCAAATGTAACATAACACTGCATAGTCTTCACTGAATAAATTAAATATAATTAAGCTTTGTTAAAGCTACAAAGGTGATTTTCTCCTTTGTAGATTGTATTTTGTTGTTTGATTAACATTAATGATAGAGAGAGCATCAGGAATATTAGACTGCTGTCACACTAAGACCGAAAGCATAGATCCAATATGATACACATCTGTTTTCTTTCTCAAATGTTTATGTTCACGTAAGCCATAAGCGACTGTTTATGAGGATATTCACCGAGATGGCATTTTGACATAATTTTGCGTGTATGTGTCCCTTCAATAACAAACAGATGCAAATGTGTGCGCGAGTTCCGAATTTTCTCTTTCACGTCTTCTTGTGCTAGAATGGTTTAAAATCACTAGAATGTATAAACTGACAGGACCTAAAACACTTACAATTATGAACCTTCACTTTCATGCAATGAATTGCAATTCTGCCATGAAAACTCTGAGAGATTGCTCATTGGCAGCTGATGCAACAGCAACCAATCAGCTGCTTCGCTAGATGACGATGCGATCGCTACCAAATTAGTTAGGACCTATCAGCCTGCACCATCTAGAATTTCATTCCAGAACTTTGTATTTAATTCGAGAATCACATGCGTATCGAACCTGTACGGATCAACTATGATCCCGACTTGACATCGCACATCCTGTGATGTGACTATCGCACTGCAATATCAATGCTAAAACTAAATATCATGCAGCCCTAGAAGGTACTCATTTCGGACAATTTAGTGATTGGTGGAGACGCTTATTTATTTAACTATAGAATTCAAATCAAAATGATCAAGTAAATACAGTTTTCATCTTCTGAAATCCACGTGAATGGAGAGCCAGGAGCCATTGCTGACATGCAATCCCATATTACATAAGCAAAACTGATTCAATGAAATGATAAATGACCAAATGCATTTAAATAAAAAGACCGTTGACTCAAAGGCTGCAAGACTCAAGGACACTAAACAGAGCTGGTCTAAAATCAAACCAGCAGATAGTAGCCTAAACATTTTTAAAACACACCCCTTCTTATCGGCAAAGCTGACCTAAACGTGTTGGTACACAGAGCAAGCGTTCATGGATCGTGGCTGTGGTCCAGTAGTAGAGAACACAGAACAGATGAGTCGCAGCCACAGGCATGGCATTTAGGTCAAGGCCAGTATCAATTTCACCCACAACAATCAAAAAGCCCAGCTAGCCCGAGGGTACGCTCTGCTATCAAACTCCACTCCATAACCCACACTACAACCACTTTCACTGGCTTCAACTGCATGTAACCCGATACCAAGATTTTTAATTTATGTCCTCTGATTAGCAAGTATAAAACTAACAAACCTACTTAACCGCAACTATAATCTGACACGGAACACATATCATTCACGCCAACAAGGCCACAAGTCCATGGACTTCAAGCTGAGAAAAGTTCGTGAAAAAAAAAAAAATTCCTTCTGCAAGGGGCAATTTCTCTCCTTCCTCATGCCGCTGGTCTCATCAACCTCCCCCCTTTCCCAGTTCTGACCCTGTGCCTGTCACCCAGCCCCCACCCCCTGCCACGGGAGTGTGGAATAGTTCCTGGAATAACAGACCATCCTGCCAGGAGAGGTGGGGGAATATTTGATCAAAGCCACAAGCGGGCTTCAGAACCCCCCCCTCTTCCCGGGCCCACAGCCACTTAGAGAAACTCTGTCCTCGGCCGTGGCTCTCAGGGCAGCTTTTCAAACAAGGCCAAGAGCCTTTCAAACAAGCAAGAGTGCTGGGAGTTCTCAGTGCCGAGCTGAGCTAGCGAACGCCATGTGCACAGGAGCCTTGGACGTTTGCTGGCGTCCATCTCGGTTTGTATTTTGGCAGTTGAGAGAGATAGAGTGGGATACTTCTGATATACAGGGTTTAGAAGACAGAGTGATCAATAATAAACCATGTTTCCAAGTACAAGAACGAGCTGAAACAGTTTAACTCGCAAAAAAAGTTGTTTACCAACTATCAGATCATGGTAGGAGAAAAGAAAACGTATTGAACGTTGAAGAAAAATATAGTCCTTTTAGGCCAGAAACATTCTTTACACACAGACGTGAGAGGTTAGTCGACTTGTAGTCCAGTTGTTGTTTTTTAAGCATTTGGTCAACAAACACCACAAGAATGTTTTGGAAAAATCTAGGGGGAAAAAAATGTTGTTTCATATAATCCAGTCATTGTCAATGTCGGGAAACA